GCAGTAGAGAGAGTGCAGTCTGAGAGTCGAGGGCAGTCCTGGAGAGCCTTGGGGCGAGTGTTGACGCAGTCTAAGAGAGTCTTGGGGACTTTTCCTCAGGGCGCTGTGTCTTATAGAGTGCTCGATTGACCGACTAAGACGAGAGCTGAAACGTATTTCGTTGTGTGCGTCTTATTTGACTGTAAAGTATAAGTGACTTTCCCGATCCCGTACCTCAAGGGGACGCGATAGAGAGACGAGACGAGATTCCCCCTTGACAAGTGTGGAGAACCCCGAGAGAGAGATTTTACCCCTGATAACTACATCAAAGGGATTTCAAACCGTTTCAGAATATGCACTGATAGACTCGATTTGGACTGAACATTTGTTGTTTTTGAGGTTCACAGAGTCTAGAATTGTCCCATTCTGGTATTTGCATTTCCAGGCGGACTGACTGGACTTGAATAATGAACTTGCTCTTTATTAGTCTCTTTATTAGTCAGTGTTTCTTTATCATCATGGATCTCTCTCAATTACTGTGCCCATGATTTGTAAATGTCTCGAACCACAATGAGATACTACTATGGACGGAGAAATAAGTTGGTTCACGTGACTCCTGCTTACTGTCCCAGCCTTGATAAAATACCATCTGTTCACCACTCATTGTCCCCATGATTAGTCAAAGCCTGTATCATCACCTCTGTTCATCACTCATTGTGGCCGTGGTTATGATGGTTCTATATCATTATAAGTTACCCCTTCTCATTGTACAGGGGTTTGTGCCTCAATTATTTCAACTTTTGTTGTGCAATTTTTATTTGTTTAGGATTCAACGTATGAGTTAGCTGGTATTGATGATGTACAGAAGGTAAGACGAATAAAGATAGACATTTTTTCAATTTTATCTTGACAACAGTTAGACTCTGTATAATTAAAAAAAGATAAAATACATTTTTCACGACTACTAGTATATTCGCCTATTTTGTGTTTAACATAAGAAATACACTAAATATCATACACAGCAGCAAATAACTCTGTCTATTGCATAGCGATTCAACAGCTTTTACAGCTCATGTTTGAATCACTTATAGTGAAACAGTAAATAAAGAATGATTACTGAGTGCAGTGAATGAAAGCTATCTGTTTATTCATACTCTTTTTGTTTTAAAATCAACATGAATGTACACATACAATAAGTACGTTTAGGCAGCTAGTTCGCGTTCACAGTACACGGTAAGCATTCTACCACTCATGGCAAAGGTTATCAAATAAAATAAATTTTTACTTTTTCGCAACAAGTAACCAAACTCTCTAATAATGTTGTATGTGCAGGAAAAAGTAGTCATTGAAATTTTGTTGGAGCAGACTGTTCTTGTGTGCATAGGACTGTAGGAATCAAACTGTAGTGATAACACTACTTGTTATATTTAATGTATCTATTTATATACTCAATCAATTAGTTTGAAGGTTCTATGTAAATTGTGTGAATAGAGCTGAAATTCATTGATAAAAAGAATTGTGAAAAGTCTTCCTTGGACATAGAAATTATCTTCTACTGATTTGTATGGGTTTCTGGAGGTGCATGTGTTATACATGATTATGATAACTTATTTGAATATACTTGCAAAATAAAAAACAAATTCTGTCTATTACAGAAGCCAGGCAATAATGGATCGTGTATTAGAATTGGCATTGTGGTAAGTATCACGTGACCAATATATGCGCACAATGTAATGGTGAGTTAGCTCATGTACATCACCATGACGACCACAACAAGACTGTGATTGGTTGTCAACAGTAAACACTCATCTAACTATAATGATCTATCAATACATGTGTATATATTCGATCACACAAAGCCAGAGAAGGTAAGAAAAAGCCCGAGAAGATGTTTTTCCCAATGTGACGACTTGTCCATCACGGAAGCATCAAGAAAGCAAGCACTCACCGGATCCCGACAAAATATTGTTCTGTGATCTGCCACACATGTCAGTAATGATGTTGTCGCTTGTGTGGTATGTAACGACAGAATCATTACAATATGAATGTTATGGTCAGTTTGCACATGTAAATATCAACGTTGATGTACAATCGAATTGTAATGGCGTGTGGTAACATACATGTGATGACAGCCATTATAATCTGACATGTTGTAATGGGATGTGGTAACGTACATGTGATGACAACCATTGTAATCTGACATGTTGTAATGGGATGTGGTAACATACATGTGATGACAACCATTGTAATCTGACACGTTGTAATGGCGTGTGGTAACATACATGTGATGACAACCATTGTGATCTGACATGTTGTAATGGGATGTGGTAACATACATGTGATGACAACCATTGTTATCTGACGTGTTGTAGTGGGATGTGGTAACGTACATGTGATGACAACCATTGTAATCTGACATGTTGTAATGGCGTGTGGTAACATACACGGGATGACAGCCATTGTAATCTGACATGTTGTAGTGGGATGTGTTAACGTACATGTGATGACAACCATTGTAATCTGACATGTTGTGATGGCGTGTGATACATGTGATGACAACCACTGTAATCTGACATGTTGTAATGGTATGTGGTAACATACATGGGATGACAACCACTATAATCTGACATGTTGTAATGGTATGTGGTAACATACATGGGATGACAATCATTGTAATCTGATAAGTTGTAATGTTGTGTGGTAACATACACGGGATGACAGCCATTGTAATCTGACATGTTGTAGTGGGATGTGTTAACGTACATGGGATGACAGCCATTGTAATCTGACATGTTGTAATGGGATGTGGTAACGTACATGTGATGACAACCATTGTAATCTGACATGTTGTAATGGTATGTGGTAACATACATGGGATGACAATCATTGTAATCTGATAAGTTGTAATGTTGTGTGGTGACATACATGGGATGACAATCATTGTAATCTGACATGTCGTAATGGTATGTGGTAACATACATGGGATGACAATCATTGTAATCTGATAAGTTGTAATGTTGTGTGGTAACATACATGGGATGACAATCATTGTAATCTGACATGTTGTAATGGTAAGTGGTAACATACATGTGATGACAACCATTGTAATCTGATAAGTTGTAATGTTGTGTGGTAACATACATGGGATGACAACCAGTGTAATCTGACATGTTGTAATGTTGTGTGGTAACATACATGGGATGACAACCATTGTAATCTGACATGTTGTAATGGTATGTGGTAACATACATGGGATGACAATCATTGTAATCTGATAAGTTGTAATGTTGTGTGGTGACATACATGGGATGACAATCATTGTAATCTGACATGTCGTAATGGTTTGTGGTAACATACATGAGATGACAATCATTGTAATCTGATAAGTTGTAATGTTGTGTGGTAACATACATGGGATGACAATCATTGTAATCTGACATGTTGTAATGGTATGTGGTAACATACATGTGATGACAACCATTGTAATCTGATAAGTTGTAATGTTGTGTGGTAACATACATGGGATGACAACCAGTGTAATCTGACATGTTGTAATGTTGTGTGGTAGCATACATGGGATGACAACCATTGTAATCTGACATGTTGTAATAGTATGTGGTAACGTACGTGTGATGACAACCATTGTAATCTGACATGTTGTAATAGTATGTAGTAACGTACATGTGATGACAACTATTTTAATCTGACATGTTGTAATGGTATGTAGTAACATACATGTGATGACAACCATTGTAATCTGACATGTTGTAATGGCGTGTGGTAACATACACGGGATGACAACCATTGTAATCTGACATGTTGTAATGATGTGTGGTAACATACACTTGGTGACAACCTTTGCAATCGAACATATTATAATGCCTTCAGATGATTGGTGTAGGATTTTGTCTTGGCATCGGCATCGCCATTGGCTATGGAATTGGCTACAATGAACCAAGTTTTGAACCAGGTAAGTTTTTTATTCTTTTGTTTCCAAATTTGTCAAATTTGCCATTCGTTATATAGACGATTCAGAGAGTGACAATGTTTCCATTCTTTTATTATATAGAGCTCACAGACAACGTGGTGAAACCAATGTCGTGGTTATCTACACCGTGTGAAATTTATTCAGAACCACTATGTCCCTCCACGTGAGTTATATGTTTGTGTGTTTTTTATTAATTAATCTCGTATTATTTTATAGTTTGAGACTAATATTTATTTCATTATATTTGTTTAGATTTACCCGGCGACCGTTGCTTCTTGTTAGCTTAGATGGGTTTAGAGCTGAGTATTTACTAAGAAACTTTACACCAAATATTAAAAAACTAAGTAAGTCTTTATTTAATGTCCGCGCACGTGTACTTATACTTATGAATTTACTTCAGACATGCTGATACATTTACTATAGTTTGTACAATGTTAGTATGCTGTAGTTATTACTATGTTATTCCAGGTGAATGTGGCGTGCACGCTCCATATATGTTTCCTGTATTTCCATCGTACACGTTTCCCAACCATTACAGTATTGTAACAGTAAGTTAAAACACGATTATTTTTTCAAACTCGTGGTGGCGCTAATCAGGTGGAGCACATACTAGTGGGCATTCTGTTGTACTCGATAATTCCGCTGCTCACACGCCATCGGTTGTTCTTTTTTTTATAAATATCTTTAATTCTTATCTTCATATACAATTTCACCACCAAACTTTCACCGCACTTTTTTCTTATATTCTCTAATATGTCCGGAAATGAACCATAATTTTGAAGCCAACAGACAAAATTTGAGTCAATTTTTAGTTGACTATGTAGTGCAGATTATAAACGGAAATATTTTGTGAATTGTGATAAAAAAGGAGAACTGGTGGTGAAAAGGTTAATGATATGATTTCATGTGTTGACCAACCTCTTGCCATCTCACATAGGGTATGTACCCGGAGTCGCACGGTATTATCGCCAATAGTATGTACGATCCAGATATGGGCGAGTCATTTAGTTTAGATAGTGAACAAAAATTCAACCCACAATGGTGGAACGCCGCTGAACCGGTAAGCTGAATAGCGCACCAATTAACTAAGATTCAGACACTGAGGGCAGTTTTCAGTGAGCGTCATACTCACCACGTCTATCTGCAACATTTGTATACTTCACAATCACGGCCACACACGTTTACATTCGTCGTTTAACCAAATTCCATGGTGTTCTAATATCCTCGCGTAACGTGTAATGTTGTGTTTTTCAGATCTGGGTTACAGCGATTAATAACGGATTAAAAACTGGTGGATTTTTTTGGCCCGGGGAAGATGTCGAGATAAGAGGTAATGTATTTCAATTTCCAGGGCAACCGACCACACAGTGAAGTTCTTCTCGATCACATTTATGCTTATCTAGAGTATTAGTGTTTTTTAATTATGCATATGGTACTTTTTATAACAGGTGTACGTCCAACATACTATCATCGATATGACGGGTAAGTTGTATATATGGTCATAAAAATGTATTATAGGCAATACAACACTGTACATAACGGTATAAGGTAATGAATCGTGCTGTTTATGATGTTGTGATAACAGTTGTTCACTACAACATATTAAATGTAAGGACACTAATGTCTTGGTCGCCGTGTTATATTAATGAACGTGTTTCCCTTAAAACAACGATTCGAATTGACAAGTGAACTATTTTCGATATATAATAACTTTAAATAATAACACAACAACTTTCTTGCCTTCAATTTGTTTATAAATTAAATTATTTATTTATTAATTTATAAATAAACAAATAAATAAATAAATAACTTATTTACTTATTTACTTATTTATTTATTTATTTATTTATTTATTTATTTATTTATTTATTTATTTATTTATTTATTTATTTATTTATTTATTTATTTATTTATTTATTTATTTATTTATTTATTTATTTATTTATTTATTTATTTATTTATTTACAGAGCTGTTAGTTATGAACAGCGAATAGACGAGGTGTTATCCTGGCTAACCCTACCCGAAGAGAAGAGGTAAGTGTAGCAGAAAAATAGCCTGTCCATAAAACGAGTCAGTGGAATTACTGTAAAACACGTTGGAATAGCTGCAAACAATTTTAGCGAAAAGAACTTCATGCATTAATTAACAGAATTTTTATTTAGCTAAAGTATCAATTATCTCATTATGAAAATATATTCTGTTGATTAGCGAAATTACAGCTTAGCTAAATTAGGTAACAAGGGCAAGTTTTACAGTGATAGCAAAAGTTCAAAAATGCATTTTCTCGAACGGTTTGCAAATTTTGCTCTTAAAAGACGTCGTTAATTATTCTAAATAACATTTCACAAAAGTGTAATCGGTCTGTATATATGAACATGGTGTAACTATTTGGCTTCTGTGTACAAATCTACGTTTCAACATGTCTATTTAATATCCCAACAACTGTTTGCTTAAATTGGTTAGTACATGCATACTGTGTACATAATATCTGGAAACTTGAATGATTTATATAAATTAGCCAATCCTTCAATTTGTGTTATACAGTTGCTCAGAGATGTTCAAGCTGTGTTAGCCAATACAATCTCAATATAAAAAACACAAACCTAATTTCCAGGATCTGAATGGCCTTGAACTATGTGTTATGTTTCTTTTATTTATTGTCATAGACCAGCTTTCATGACTGCATATTTTGAGGAACCAGACGGTGCTGGACATGATTTTGGGCCATATGCTGATGAGGTAGGTTATAATATGTCCATCTGAAATATAACTTATTCCATCTGAAATACAACGTACTCCATCTGAAATACAACGTACCCCATCTGAAATACAACGAACTCCATCTGAAATACAACGTACTCGTTCTGAAATACAACGTACTCTATCTGAATTACCACGTACTCCATCTGAAATACAACGTACTCCATCTAAAATACAACGTACTCCATCTGAAATACAACGTACTCCATCTGCAATACAACGTACTCCATCTGAAATACAACGTAATCCATCTAAAATATAACGTACTCCATCTGAAATACAACGTACTCCATCTGAAATACAACGAACTCCATCTGAAATACAACGTAATCCATCTAAAATACAACGTACTCCATCTGAAATACAACGTACTCCATCTGAAGTTCAACGTTCTCTATCTAACATTCAACGTATTCCATCTGAAATACAACGTACTCCATCTGAAATACAACGTACTCCATCTGAAATACAACGTAACCCATTAGAAATTCAACGTACTCCATCTGAAATACAACGTACTCCATCTGAAATACAACGTACTCCATCTGAAATACAAATACAACGTTCTCCATCTGAAATACAACGTACTGCATCTGAAATACAACGTACTCCTCTAAAATTCAACGTACTTCAACTGAAATACAACGTACTCCGTCTGAAATACAACGTACTCCGTCTGAAATACAACGTACTCAATCTGAAATACAACATACTCCATCTGCAATACAACATACTCCATCTGAAATACAACGTACTCCATCTGAAGTTCAACGTTCTCTATGTAACATTCAACGTACTCCATCTGAAATACAACGCACTCCATCTTAAATACAACGTACTCCATCTGAAATACAACGTATTCCATCTGAAATACAACGTACTCCATGTGAAATACAACGTACTCCATCTGAAATACAACGTAACCCATTAGAAATTCAACGTACTCCATGTGAAATACAACGTACTCCATCTGAAATACAACGTACTCCATCTGAAATACAATACAACGTTCTCCATCTGAAATACAACGTACTGCAT